GGGGCCAGCCATCCCCCAGCCCAGACCCCCCCTCGGCCCCTCCAAGCGGGGGTCTCTCCGCTTCCTACTGACCCCAGGGCGGACCTGGTGCCTGCGCTGCTCTGATCCCTGCCCCTTGCCCGCCCTGGCGTGCCTTCTCTTCCCCTTTCACCCACCCAGTCCGGGCTTGCTTTGCCCTTCTCCTCCGCCATCTCCTTTCCCTTCTCCTCGGGTCCCTCTTCCCAGCTGCCTTCTCCTCCCCCTAACTGTGGTGTCCCCTCACCCCTTCCCTGCTTCTCCTGACTCCCCTCCTGCTCTTCCCAATCCCTCACCCCCTGATCTCTCATTTCACCCCCGGGCCCACCACACCGCCCCTCACCCGGCCTCTGGCTTTCTCTCTGCCCCTTAGGCCTCCTGCCAGAAGAGATCCTGACCCCCACACTCTACCATGGCTACTACGTCCGGCCTCGGGCCGCCCGAGCTGGGGAGGGCAGCAGGGCAGGGGCCTCCGAGCTGAGGCTCAGTGAGGGCAAGTTCCAGGCATTTCTGGACGTGAGCCACTTTACCCCGGATGAGGTGACCGTGAGGACTGTGGACAACCTTCTGGAGGTGTCTGCCCGACACCCCCAGCGCCTGGACCGCCATGGCTTCGTGTCCCGAGAGTTCTGCCGCACCTACATCCTGCCTGCTGACGTGGACCCCTGGAGGGTGCGAGCAGCCCTCTCCCACGACGGCATCCTTAACCTGGAGGCGCCCCGGGGCGGCCGTCACTTGGACACAGAGGTCAATGAGGTCTACATCTCCCTGCTCCCTGCACCTCCGGATCCAGAGGAAGAGGAGGAGGCAGCGGGGTTTGAGCCCTGATTGCCACAGACCCAGCACGCAGAGAATCCCTTTCCACCTCCCACAGCGACAGGAGTTACTGCCCACCACTCCAGAGGTAGCGGCATCCTTGGAGGAAGGGAAAGGCGCATGGTCCACAATGTATGGTTTGGTCCCCTGGGACATGTCGCAGCCTTGGGTTTAGCGTTGGGTGGAGCTGAATAAACCCAACCAAATCTCAGGGCCTCTGCTTGTGCTGCTCCCTATTCTGTGGCAGGGAAGAGGGGATGGCCAGGGAGGGAGGAGGTCATAGCCAGCTAGACAAAAAGCTCCTCAGTTCGATGTGCCCAACGTCACAGCACCCTGAGCTCGCACTTGGATGCTGAGATCACGCCCGGAAGCTGACTCTGGCTCCAGATCAAATTCCTAGCCATAATTTTCTCACAATGCAACAAAAGAGAGAGTGATCCTGGGAGGGAAAAGGGATATGCCATCCAAACAGCCCAGAGGGCACTGTCTGAGCTGGTGATTAGAGACACAAAAACAAGGGTCTCCAGACTGTCTGGCCCTTTTTGGGTAGGGGTTGGGAAAATGGTTTTTGGCTGGAGAGAGTTGCCTAAAGCCCTGAAGTGAACACTTTGTTTTCCCATACTAAAGTCTCTCCACTGAAATGGTCACTGATTTTGAGGGACTGAGTATGCACACACAGGAACACCAATACAGAAGATTCTACCATCATCACTGAACCCCATTGCCTCCCCATCCTCTGAGGATATGGTGTGTTCAGGAAAGCCTGAGAGGCTGTCTCCTCACACACAGGCATGCTGTCTGCATGCAAGAGAAGACACGTGTGTATCATTTAGGAATTGTCCAGAAGATGTTCCTGCCCACAAATATTTATTTTATCAGAATATGGTGGACACCTAAAATTCTTTCTATATTAAAGTGGTTGTTTCTCAGCTTTTAGGAGTTACAAACCCACCTGAGAATCTGACAAAAGCTATAGATGCTCTAACCAGAAAAATACACATGCTCCCAAATTTGGCAATACAATTTCAATAGGTTCCCATAAATTTTGAGATCTATTGACATACCCCTCTTAGGGATCTATGGATTCCCAGGAGAATAACCTTCACTTGAGGCATTCAGTTTTTGGTTAAAGGATTGCCAACTATTAAAAATTAAAGCACACATCAGAGAAATAACTGTTGATCTAATTGTTCATTCATTCACTCAATAAATATTTATCAAACCCCAAAGTAATACACTATGGGGAATATACATTGTAAATATAAATTATACAAACTATGGATTTTTATTGCTTACTCTCAGAAATCTAGTTGAGAAGAAAAATAAAAAAAGGTTTCTCTTCACACTTCAGCCAGAACAGTTTCATATTGATTTGTTTTGTAATTGAGTTTTATTTAAAAGAAAGGATTTCTTAGCTAGAAAAAATGTGAAAACCTCTGATTTAGTTCAAATCTCCAACCCATTCACATCCTTTTAAAGTTATTAATCAACTTCTTTCTGGGATAATTTTTTTTTTTTTTTTTTTTTTTGAGTTGGAGTCTCACTCTGTCGCCCAAACTGGAGTGCAGTGGCTGCTCCCGGCCACCGCAGCCTCGACATGCCGGGCTCCGGTGATCCTTCCACCTCAACCTTTCAAGTAGCCGGAATTACAGGCGTGCGCTACCACGCCCGGCTGATTTTTTTGACTTATTGTAGAGATGAGGTCTCGCTGCCCAGGTGGGTCTCGAACCCTCGGCTCAGGCAATCCACTCACCTCAGCCTCCCAAAAGCGTGGAATTACAGGCTGAGCCACCGAGCCCAGCACTGATTTTTTTATTTTATTGTAGAGATGAGGTCTCGCCTGCCCAGGCGGATCTCGAACCCGTGGGCTCTGGCAATCCACTCGCCTCAGCCTTCCAAAGGCGCAGGATTACAGGCTGAGCCACTGAGCCCGGCTGGGATAATTTAAATGACAGAGAACTTAGAACTTTGTAAAGTAGCCCACGACATTTTCTTTTTGGATGTAACTGTTAATATTCTTCCTGAATCAAAATCTGAATTTCATAACTTCTGCCCATTGGTTCTGGTTATGTCCAGAAAGCAAATGCAATCCTTCTTTCACTTAAAAGTCCTTCAGACATTTAGAGATAACCAACCTAAGGCTTTCCCTTCCCAGCGAAACATGCCTAGGTCTTTTAACCATATCTTACAGCACTTTCCACATCACTATTACCCAGACAACTTTCTTTGAAACACACTGCCTTTTGATAATACAACTTAAAATTTAACATCTAGACCTAAAATTATTTCAGTCATGGATTGACAGGTACAGACTTCAATGAAATAATCAATACGTTTGTTTATCACTCTAGACTTATGTTAATGCTGCTTGAGGCATATCAGGTTTCCTGGTCACCGCAATGCACTATTGGTTTCTTTGAAGTTTCTGGTCTTCTAAAAATCTCTTGGGTACTTTAAAAAATCTCTTAGGTGCGGTAATATTTTTTTTTTTAATTACAAAAGATGTGGCTAAAGGGAACCAGGTTGCAGAGGGCTTTGAGTGCCGGGCTGAGAAGTTTGAACTCTGTCCTATAGGTGGCAGGAAATCATTAACAGCTTTTGAGCCAGAGAAGAAGGGGAGAGTAAGAGGATGAAAAGGATACAGTTAATCTAATGGACTGCAGGGGAGACAGTTCAATGACTGGGGCACAAAATAAGAAAATAAGATGCTTTGCCATCTGACAATTAGCTGAGAACAAGAAGCAATAATAACAATAAGCCAGGTGTGGTGGCTCACGCTTGTGATTCTAGCACTTTGGAAGGTGGAGGTGAGAGGACTGCCTCAGCCCAGGGGTTCAAGACCAGCCTTGGCATCTTGACCTGACCTCGTCTCTACAATAAATCAAAAAATTAGCTGAGCGTGATGGCACATGCCTGTAGTCCCACCTACTTCGAAGGCTGAGGTGGAAGGATAGCCTGAGCCCAGCAGGCCGAGGCTATGATGGCTGTGAGCGAGCCACTGCACTACAGCCTGGAGACTCCAACCCTCTCCCCGCCACACACAAAAAAAGGAACTGGGGCCATTTCAACCATAGAGTCATCTAATTTTATACCAGGAAGGTGATTAGGTAATAAGTTCACTTCTTTAATTTTACAGACCTTGAAAACTTAGGCCCTAAAATGTTAAGTGATTTGCCTACATTATTTCATTACTTTCAAATAGCAAGGAATATACAAGGAATCCATTTCCCTAACTTCCTTTTTTTTCTTTTTTTTTTTTTTCAGTCGGAGTCTCACTCTGTTGCCCAGGCTGGAGTGCAGTGGCACGCTCATGGCTATCACATTGCAGCCTTGCCCTGCTGGGCTCAGGTGATCCTTCTACCTCAGCCTTCCAAGTAGCTGGGACTACAGGCACATGTCACCATGCCCAGCTAATTTTTCTGTTTATCGTAGAGATGAGATCTCGCCAAGTTGCCCAGACTGGTCTTGAACCCCTGGGTTCAGGCAATCTTCTCGCCTCAGCCTCCCCAAGTGCTGGAATTACAGGAGTAAATCACCATGCTCGGCCCATTTCCCTAACTTTAAGGTTTTAAGAGATTCCAGTAACCAAACTCAGATTTTGGACAGGAATAATAAGAAGCTGGTACCAGAGCCGAGTGCAGTGGTTCACGCCTGTAATACTAGCACTTTGGGAGGTAAAGGCAAGAAGATTGCCTGAGCCCAGGGGTTCAAGATCAGCCTGGCCAACATGGCAAGACCCTGTCTCTACAATTAAAAAAAAAAATTAAGCCAGGCTCAGTGGCTCAGCCTGTAATCCCGCGTTTTGGGAGGCTGAAGTGAGTGGATTACCTGAACCCGCGGGTTTGAGACGTGCCTGGGCAACTTGGCGAGACCTCATCTCTACAATAAATCAAAAAATTAGCTGGGCGTGATAGCGCGCGCCTGTAGTTCCAGCTGCTTGGAAGGCTGAGGCGGAAGGATCGCAGGAGCCCAGCAGGTCGAGGCTGCGGTGGTTGGGAGCAGCCACTGCACTCCAGTCTGGGTGACAGAGTGAGACTCCAACTCAAAAAAAAAAAAAAAATTAGCCAAGGTGGTGGTGCACACCTGTAATTCTAGCTACTTGGAAGACTGAGTCGGAAGGATTGCCTGAGCCCAGCAAGTTGAGGCTGCAGTAACTGTGAGTGTGGCACTGGATTTCAGTCTGGGTGACAGAGTGAGACTCCTATTCAAAAAAAAAAAGAAGGAAAGAAAGAAAAGATAAAAAGAAGTTGGTACCAATTACCTTAAAAGTGAAACTCAAGTCTGAATGGTGCTGGGCAAACATAAGGTAAGACTCTATCATTAAAAAGGAGATATTTCAAAGACAGTGTGATGTAGTGGAGAAACATTTCCTCAGGAAACCCAGAGCCCTTTTCTATCTCAGGTTTCTTTTTTATCGAAGCTTGAAGCTCAAGTTCATGGCTTCATCAAAAGAAACCTCAAATCCTGCAGGTGAGATAGCTCTCACCTGAAGTCTGGGTGTGTTGTTCCACCCTTTGGGAACAGTCACCTAGGAATTATTCCAGCAGGTGGCTTACAAAGATCAACCTGCTAGGTTGAAATCTGACACGGACAGACACTCCCGGGAGCTGCCTCCAAAAGCTAAACCAGGAACCAGGAAATGCACAAGCCTCTAGAAGCCGAAAAACAGCTGGGCTCTCTGAGAGACTGAACGCCATGGGAAACCGGCTCTGCTGCCGGGGAAGCGGGTGAGTAGGGCGGCAGGACGGAGGGTAAAAATCTCTGTTGGTGAAACTTGAGGCCCAGAGAGGTAGTTATCTGCCAGCCTCCCACTGCTATCTTCCCCTGCCTGGTATTTCTTGGTTCCAGCACCAGAGCAGCACCTCCTTCCATGCATAATCCTTTCAAGGAGACTTTAGAAAACAGAGCCAGGCCAGCTGACTGTAGCCAGAGCAGGGCTGGGATGTTGAACTGGCATTGTTTCTCTGCCGTCCTCTTCCTCCCTTTTCCCTTCTCTCCCTTCCCTTCATCTTCTGATGAGAATAATTGTAGCATTTGAGAGCTTTCTATGTGCCAGGCATTTTACAATCTCATTTCATTTTCCCAACACTTCTATGAGAAAAGTGGTCTTTTCTCTCCTCTCATTTTACAGCCAGTTGAGAAGCTGAGGCTCAGAGAGGTTAACTAACTTGCCCAAGGTCACAGGACTATTAAACAAGCAAACCAAGATTCCAATCCAAGCTTGCCTGACTTTAACATAATACCACCTCCCAGAGCCCACACTTATCGAGCAGATCAACTTTGGAGAAATGTTTATTTAAAAGGGCAGAAGTAGGCTGGGCATGGTGGCTCATGCCTGTAATCCCAGCACTCAGGGAGGCCAAGGCAAGAGGACTGAATTTAGGAGTCTAAGACCAGCCTGGGCAACATAGTAAGACTTTGTTTCTACAATAAATGAAAAAGTTAGTCAGAAGGGGTGTCGCTCCTGTAGTCCCAGTTACTCGGAAGGCTGAAGTGGAAGGATTACCTGAGCCCATTAGGTCAAGGCTGTGATACCCATGAAGGTGCCACTACACTCCAGCCTGGTGACAGGGTGAGACCCCAATTCAAAAAATAAAAATAAGCCGGGCTCGGTGGCTCAGCCTGTAATCGCGCGCTTTGAGAGGCTGAAGTGAGTGGATTGCCTGAGCCCGCGGGTTCGAGACGCGCCTGGGCAACTTGGCAAGACCTCATCTCTACAATAAATCAAAAATTAGCCGGGCGTGGTAGCACATGCTTGTAGTTCCGGCTACCTGGAAGGCTGAGGCGGAAGGATCGCCGGAGCCCAGCAGGTCGAGGCTGCGGTGGCTGGGAGTGGCCACTGCACTCCAGTCTGGGCGACAGAGTGAGACTCCAACAAAAAATTTAAAAAACTAAAAAAACCAAAAAATAAAAATAAAAAAAGGGCAGAAGTAGGATGAAGGGGAATATCCATGGAATACTTGAATATAACTTTCACACTTATTTGCTCTGTGACCTACGGCAAGTCTCTTAATTTCTCTGTAATCCCTGCATAGAAAATACAGATAATACATTCCCCCCACTGTTTGGATCTCAGGTTTGTTTTGAATAGCAAAGGGTATATGTGAAACCTCATAATACAAGTTTATGGCATCGTTACTGTTCTTTCCCAGAGTTTTCATCACCACCATAAACTCCTGGACCTGGTTTTATCCTGTCTACTGCCTTCTTAGCTATATTATTCAATATATAGCTCAGACATTGAGGATGTATAGTTATATCAATAAAGCATTGTTGTGTGTGTGTGTGTGTGTGTGTGTGTGTGTGTGTCTTTTTGAGTCAGGGTCTCACTCTGGTGCCCAGGCTGGAGGGTAGTGACACGATCATAACTTTCTACAGCCTCAACCTTCTGGGCGCAGACAGTTTTTCTGCCTCAGCCTCCAGAGTGGCTGTGACTACAGGTGTGTGTCACTAAGCCCCACCAGTTTTTTTTATTCTTGAGGAGACGAGGTCTCACTATGTTGCCTAGGCTGGTCTAGAAATCCTGGGCTCAAGCAGTCCACCTAGTTTAGCCTCCCAAAGTGCTGGGATTACAGGTGTGAGCCTCTGCGCCTGGCTGCATTGTTATATTTAGAGAGAGAAATGTGATACATTGGAAAGCAATAGGTTTTAGAGTGGGTACACTGGAATTGTGTATTGTTCCCCCATTCACTCATTTATCCATTCTTTTATTAAACAAATAGTTATTGAACACATACTGTGTACCAGGAACAGTGACAGATACAAAAGACGTAGTGTAATAAAAGGAAATTTGGACGGGCATGTTGATTCAAGCCTGTAATCCCAGCACTTTGGGAGGCCAAGGTGGAAGGATTGCTTGAGCCCAGAAATTCAAAACCAGCCTAAGCAACATAGCAAGATCTCTTCTCTAAAGAATTATAAAGATTAACTGGGTATGGTGGTGTGTACCTATAGTTCCAGCTACTTCGGAGGCTGAGGCACAAGGATCACCTGAGTCCAGAAGGTCCAGGCTGTGTTGAGCCACTTTTCTCCAGCCTGGGAAACAGAATGAGACCCTGACTCAAAAAAGAAAAAGGAAATTTGATTCTTCTTTTTTTTTCCAGGCTGGAGTACAGTGGCACAATCACAGCTCACTACCATCTCGACTTCCTGGGCTCAAATAGCTGAGGCCATAGGTGCATGCCACCATGCCTGACTAATTATTTTATTTTATTTTTTTGAGTTGGAGTCTCACTCTGTCGCCCAGGCTGGAGGGCAGTGGCCGCTCCCAGCCACCGCAGCCTCGACTTGCTGGGCTCCGGCGATCCTTCCGCCTCAGCCTTCCAAGTAGCTGGAACTACAGGCGTGCGCTACCACACCCAGCTGGCTTTCTTTTTGATTTATTGTAGAGATGAGGTCTCACCAAGTTGCCCAGGCGGATTTCGAACGCACGGGCTCAGGCAATCCACTGACCTCAGCCTCCCAAAGGCATGGGATTACAGGCTGAGCCACCGAGCCTGGCTGCAGTGGCACACTTACGACCACGCCAGCATCGACTTGCTGAGCTGCGGCGATCCTTCCGCCTCAGCCTTCCAAGTAGCCAGAAGTACAGGCGCATATCACACCTGGCCTATCTATCTAACTATCTATCTATCATCTATTTATCTATCTACTATCTATCATCTATCTATCTATCTATCTATCTAATCTATCTATCTTAGAGACGAGGTCTCGCTAAGTTGCCTGGGCTGGTCTTGAACCCGCGGGCTCAGACAATTCACTCACCTTGGCCTCCCAAAGTGCTGGGATTACAGGCTGAGCCACCGAGCCTGGCCTATTTTATTATATTTTGTGTAGAAATAGGGTCTCGTTATGTTGTCCAGGCTGGTCTCAAACTACTAGCCTCAAGCGATCCTACTGCCTCAGCCTTCCAAAGTGTTGGGATTACAGGCGTGAGCCCCTGCACTTGGTCCTGCCTTCTTGAGTAAGATACCAGTGTTCTAGGGCTTTCAGTGACCTATCTGTATTTGTATTTGTTTTCTTGGTTGTTTTTTTTTTTAGTTGGAGTCTCACTCGGTCGCCCAGACTGGAGTGGAGTGGCCGCTCCCGGCCACCGCAGCCTCGACCTGCTGGGCTCCGGTGATCCTTCCGCCTCAGCCTTCCGAGTAGCCGGAATTACAGGCATGTGCTACCATGCCCGGCTGATTTTTTGATTTATTGTAGAGATGAGGTCTTGCTGCCTAGGCGGGTCTCGAACCCGCGGGCTCAGGCAATCCACTCACCTCAGCTTCCCAAAGGCGCGGGATTACAGGCTGAGCCACCAAGCCCGGCTTGTATTTGTTTTTTTTTGGTTGTTTTTTTTTTTTTGAGTAGGAGTTTCACTCTGTCGCCCAGACTGGAGTGCAGTGGCCTCTCCCAGCCACCGCAGCCTCGACCTGCTGGGCTCCGGTGATCCTTCCGCCTCAGCCTTCCAAATAGCCGGAACTACAGGCGTGCACTACCACGCCCGGCTAATTTTTTTGATTTATTGTAGAGATGAGGTCTCGCTGCCCAGGGGGGTCTCGAATCCGCGGGCTCAATCAATCCACTCACCTCAGCCTCCCAAAGGCGCGGGATTACAGGCTGAGCCACCGAGCCCGGCTTTTTTTTGTTATTTCAGTAAACCTCCAGAGATTTGAAGATACTATCACAATTTTAAAATATTCTTTTTATTTTTATTGATTTTTTTGAGTCAGAGTTTCACTCTGTTGCCCAGGCTGGAGTGCAATGGCACACTCATGGCCCCCGCAGCTTCGACCTGCTGAGTTCAAGCCATCCTTCCGCCTCAGCCTTCCAAGTAGCTGGATCTACAGGTGTGCTAATTTTTTGTTTTATTGTAGAGATGAGGTCTCACTAAGTTGCCTAGGCTGGCCTTGAACTGCTGGACTCAGGCATTCTTCTCACCTTGGCCTCCCAAAGTGCTGAGATTACAGGATTAAGCCACTGCGCCCGGCTAAAATAGTCTTTGTTGTTGTATTTTTCTGATTACAAAAGTAATAAACAAATTCACTGTAGAAAATTTGGAAAGAACAGAAAAAAAAAGAAGCAATCATAAAATGCAAGCACCTAGAAATGATGAAAACATCTTAGTGTATTTCCATATTCTTTTAAAATGTGCACAGTTTTTAATCCAAAACGTTTTTCTTATCTTTTTGGTAACCTAGTAAAGAGTAAAATTTTCCATTCTGTTAGGTGTTCTTCCAACATCCTTTATTAAGTGGCTACATATTTTCCATTAATTAAATATGCCATTTATTTAGTTGGTTACCAAATGTTGGACATGTATAAATTATTTCATAGTATATGGAATTGAGAGAGAGTAAACACATTTATGTTTAAGGCTTTTTTTTTTTTTTTTGAGACAGAGTCTCATTGTTGCCCAGGCTGGAGGGCAGTGGCACATTCACAGCTACAGCAGCCTCAACCCGCTGGACTCAGGCGATCCTTCTGCCTCAGCCTTCCAAGTAGCTGGAACTTCAGGTGTGTGCCATCATGCCCAGCTAATTTGTTTATTTATTGTAGAGACATGGTCTTGCCAATCAATTTGTCCAGGCTGGTCTCGATTTTTTTCTTTTCTTTCTTCTTTTTTTTTTGAGTTGGAGTCTCACTCTGTCGCCCAGACTGGAGTGCAGTGGCACGCTCCCGGCCACCGCAGCCTCGACCTCCTGGGCTCCAGCAATCCTTCCAACCTCAGCCTTCCAAGTAGCTGGAAATACAGGCACGTGCTACCACGCCCGGATAATTTTTTGATTTATTGTAGAGATGAGGTCTCGCCAAGTTGCCCAGGCAGGTCTTGAACCCGCGGGCTCAGGCAATCCACTCACCTCAGCCTCCCAAGGCGCGGGATTACAGGCTGAGCCACCGAGCCTGGCTCAGGCTGGTCTCAAACCCTTGGACTCAGGCAATCCTCTTACCTCGGCCTCCCCAAGTGCTGGGATTACAGGCATGAGGCACCAAGCCCAACTTATTATTGCCAATTGCATGGTAGAGGGATTGCACCAATTTTTATTCCTTCTACCACTGTAGGAGAGTGCCCCTTTAGTTTTCTTAATTCTGATCTAAAGTAAAATCCCATCACCCAAGAATTTAACCAAATACTCTATTTGGATTGTGTCCAGGCATTGTGCAATATTCAGCTTGGATCGGGCTCTATTCACTAAACTTGGAGAGCTCTAGTCTATGTATTTAAAAATATTTTCTCGGTCTACTTAAATAGAAATAAGTAAGAAAATAGTAGTGATGGGGATAAGGAATGAAGATTCTCTGGTTCCTAGGATAGTGCTATGACTGAATAGAGGTAACATAAAGCAAGAGGTGAACTGGCAGAAGAGGAAGAAGAAAAACAGAGGTAGTTTTTCTTCTGAACCACCTTTAGATTTTGGGTGGAGACTCTTAACTGCTCTCAACATAGCAAGCTGCATCAAGACTAAAAATCAGGGTCAGGCATGATGGCTCATGCCCAGCACTTTGGGAGGCTGAGGCAAGAGGATTTCTTGAGCCCAGGAGTTCGACATCAGCCTAGGCAACATGGTGAGGACTCTCCTCTATAAAAACATTTTTTAAATGAGCTGGGCATGGTGGCAGTCCCAGCAACTCAGGAGGTTGAGGCAGAAGGATAGCCTGAGCCCAGGAGGTTGAGACTGCAGTGAGCTGTGATTGTGCCAATGCACACCAGCCTGGGCGACAGAATGAGACCCCCAACTTAAAAAAAAAAAAAATCATACCAAAACATAAACCTGTCAAATGGGTGTGGAAACAGTCAAGATTTGGGGGGGGAGTAGTATAGTAAACATGATTTAGAACTAAGTGTGCATACCTCTCCCTCCCCCTTCACTCTTTAATTAGCAAAAGAAGGACGCTTCCCGGAGGTGAGAGGTCAGACAGACAAATTAGGGTTGGCTCCGGAATTGGAAATGTACTAGCAAGAAAAAGCATCCGAAGTAAGCCCCAAACTATTCAACCTATTTCCACAGTGTTGTCTCTCTGCGTGTCAAATAGTTGACAATCACGCAGACACACAGGCTCCATCAGGGACCCCAGGGGCTCAGAAATGAACGTAAGAGGTCTGCCTTGCAGCAAGGGCAGGATAGCTGAGTCACTTACCAAATCCAGCGCTAACTGTTCTGTAGGCAAAGTTCTCCAATGGATGTTAAAGGTTAAATATCTCTCACTTTCTCTGTTAATTAAAAACAAGGCCAAGGAAGCAGGCAGGGAGGTCACTTGTCAGGAAAGGGTTTTGAGGGGCTCTAACTATTATAGCCCTGGCTATTACAGCTCTTATGACTTTCAGAATAAAAGTACCAGGTTGGCAAAGTCTCCAGAAAAAACAAAAAAAAGAAAAAACACTGAGGAAGAAGCAAGAGGGTCTCTGGATTCGGTAATACCCCATTATTTGGCAGCTTTCCCTCACCTCCTGCTGGGATTAGCCGGTTAGACAATCCCAGAATAGCCCTCCAGCCAGCCACATCCCTGGCATGTAGTGCCTGGTTGCCTGAGGCTGTATTTTGGGTTTGGTTATGTCACTTGTACCATTCCACCTTCCAGAGCTGTCCATTTGGGAGAGGTGTGGTACTCTTGACAAATGTTTTGGGTCTGAACCTGGCTCAGGGTGAATCTTCGTTAGAGGGAGGTAGGGAAGGACATCCCAGAATGTTCAGGAGACCACAGAGCAAATGACGGAGGAGGGAAGACAGAAGTCAGGGCTCTTGCACATGGGTGATCTGTTTTTCCTATCACAGGAGCTGCCCATCAACTTTGCAGAAGAAAAGGAAAACAGGTAATTTTGCTGGGGGAGGGTGAGAAGGATTCTGGGGGAGGCAAATTAGAGAAGATAATAGGCATCTTTGGAAGGGGCATAGGGTGGAAAGAGAGTGACTTTGCAAGGGATAAAGGGAGATGAGAATCTGTGGATTACTGGGCTCAAGACCAGCTCCGAACCTCTAAATCTGACCCTTTCCATTATCTCAGAGTGGCAGGGTCGGTCATTCATTCTTGCATTCATCCTGCAAATATTAACTGACCACTTATATTGTATGTGAGGCACTCTGTGGGGCCCCAAGGAGGCAAAGAGGCACAAGAGGAAGCACACATGATCTCAGCCCTGGAAGAGCTGAAAATCAAGTTTAAGAGATAGATTCATATAAACAGATAATTGTAATGTCATCTCCTGGTACACTCATGCCATGGGAGAATGAGAGATGACACTGGTGTCAAAGGAGTGGCAGCAGATTTGCAAGTCTGGGTAGGGGTGGGGGGTGGGGATCTTTTGTATTTCTTCAGGGTCAAATGTGACTTCATCTTTTGTGTTTCTGATTATGCTTATTTGGTTTTTTTCTCGTTTTTTCTTGGTCAGTCTAGCTAGGGGACCATCATTCTTGTTTACCCTTTCAAAGCACCAGCTTTTTGTTTCATTGATTTTTTTGTATTATCTTTTTGTCTTCTATGTCCTG